GTTCCTGACACGTCAATCATGGTCATGTGCTTGTCCCTCCCCCCTGTGGGCGAACCCTGACACATGAACGAGTCGACTGCCCAATGCTTGTGCAGGACGCCATGGCAGGAAGCTAGCCACTACAAAAATGTGCATGCTGCTTCATTTCTGATGCTTGTACCAGTTTAGTTCTGATGCTCAGCTGAAGCATCTTTGCTAGGGTGACCAGATTCGGGTTTCCGACAATAAGCACATATTTATTTGTCGACTGCTGGGCCGCTGACTGGACCTGATAGAGTAAAGATAAAGAGCTGATAAAGCTACTTAGATTTTAACTTTTAACTTTATTTTTTAACTTTTCAGTTATTTTTTTTTTACTTAGCTTTTTACCCTTTTTCTTAACTTTCTCTTTACAACTTAATTTACAGTAGGTGATATATAATCTAGTTGGTCAAATGCAAAAATAACATGTGCAGCCAGGTAGCAGTATCTATGCTGAATGGCTGGATATAAACCTTGTGCTTTTAGACCTCTCTGATCGATGGGGGTAACTGTAACTTTCCCTATAAAGGATGAAAAGACCAAAAACTTGCCTAAGTTCTAAACGCAAAGAAGGTCATAATAAAATAAAGATATTAAAGATGGTCTTTGGAGTCTGACAATAGGTGTAAATAATTGATCAGAGAGTTAATGTTTTTATCTTGGCTCAGTTTCATTTTAATGAGAGACATATAGCTGATTTGACAGGCTGGTCCACATTAAGATTTGCTTTTACATTAGGACCAAATCAGTTTTTCATTTCTTGAGGTCATTTAATCCATGCATGGAGAATAGATTTACTTAGGCAACAAAAGCTTAACATCCACATCAGGTACCGTTCAATAACCGCCCTAATGTCTCAACGACTGACATCATCATGCTATTATTAAGTCACTTATTTGAGCTTCTTCTTGTCCCACATTAGCACTAAAGAGAAGTCTGGCAAAGATAAGATTGTGGTGGAGATGAAGAGCGACAAGTCAGAGGAGGCAATTCTGCTTGGGGTCAATGGAGAAAAACAGCTACCCAGTGACCAGGTAAACATCTAATCCCTGACCACATACAGCTACATACATCAGCTGATATAATAACGTCATGTCTCCATCATCTTATCTCTTTGTTCCTGTCTACTTGACCTCTGGAGTGATGAGCACTGCATGGTGAGAAGTGAGGAGGTGAACCTCGACCTCCTGAAAGCTGCTCCTGGTGCATCCCTCTCAGGCTCAGACCCCGAGATGCCTTCAAGCTTCCACCAAAGCTCCTTCATTCAGAGTTACATCATGGAGTTAATCAGCTGACCATTACACTGTTCAACTTAAAAAGATGTTTTCATTTCTTGCTGTAGGTTATGACCCATAAGTTCAATTCAAGCACAATTGGAGAGCTCCGTTATGTAACTCTGTCATTCACCCACCATCCTTTGAACCTCCGTCTCATTAGTGAAAGCCTTCATACTGCTGATTGTCTATTGAACATGAATTAGAGCTAAAATGACAGGGTCTGTTTTGAACACAGAAGAGGATAAATGTATTGCCTCCATTGATAAAGATGTGTAAAAATCCTGAAATAAATTCTTTAATTATGGATCATATATTCTGAAAAAGAGAGAAAAAAATTAACAAAGATATAAATATATATATATCTAAATAAAATCCAGGTGTTTGAGAGAACATCTGTTATCTGTTAGGCTTAATTAAAAACTTACCTAAACAATATTTTTTCTTTAAATAACCTTTTTTTTTTTTTTAAAGAACTGTTCAACTATCTTGGACAGTTCTTTCCTAAATTAGTATGAGGGAGACCTGACAAAAAAATTTTTTTCTAGTGTGTTTAATTCTGTGTTTGTCGGACATAATCAGACAGCTTAGGACGAGCAAAAAAAACAAAAGAAAAGCAGCTCTTGGGCATTGATGCGTTCAGTGGAAGATCTCATTTAACCGCAGAATTGAATCAAAAATCCGGTGGCGCCTCAGAGAAAGCTAAAAATGGTCCATCACTGATCTTTTAACGGAATTATTATTCCAAAAGGATTCCCATGGCCAAAATAACACAGAAAAAAATAGAAGTAAAATCAACCTTAGCCTTCAGTAGGTTAGGTCAATCCAAATAATATCCAGTTAAAGTTCGGATAATCCAGGATTCCCAGTGAAAGACACGTATTTTGAACCTTTACACATCTTTACCACGGATGCCAATAGATGTGGAAAGCGCTTAGTGACGTAGAAATCCACTGAAGAGCATCCTGATGCAGCTCAGTTGGTGTACATACTATAGTCTATGTATATATTTCTTTATTTAAATAACACACAAAAAAAAATAAAAATAAATGACCAGATAGTGTTTCTATGATTTGGTGCTTCTTAGAGATAAAGTGGAGCTTAGGTAGGAAAATAGTTTTATTTGTTTCCTGTAATGTTTCAGTCTTCACACTGAAAGTTAAGAGATGCCTCACCTCTTCAGCTATACATTTTTATGCTTTAAATACAAACCTGCAGGTCATTTTAAATACATATCACTCATGTTTTCGACTCCCAGTGTTCTGTAAATGAAGGACATTCTTTTGTGAGGCTGAATAAGAAGTTGAACTATTGGTGAATTATTTTCTGTGTATTTTTACATCTGATCATATTTGTTTGTTTGTTTGATCAAAAGCATTGCCAACAGTCAGATCATGGAGTTGCATTTTGCCTTAAATAATACTATCAGATGCCTTGCAGAAAAATTACATTTTGTACTGCTGGTTTTTATTTTTTCTATTTAATTTCCATGCACTGATGTTTTTTCCCCCATCTTTGTGTGTGTATTCAAGCTGTATTTGCTCTCCAATATAACATTTTTATGGGATGTATCTTAATGAATTTAATTTCTATAGCTGTTATCTTGTTAACAGAAAGAAAGACAGAGATAGACCGGAATCACTGCATGAAGTTGTTCTTTTCACTGCATATTTTTCTCTTGATTGAATTAATTTCTTTGACTATTGAAACTTGAGCTAACATACCGGTAACCCAAAGAGACACAGAGTCCCCTTCAGATCCAATGCCTTAAACCACCATATACTCCCCTTTTTAAGTGTTTTGTGTTCCTGCTGGTTCCCATAATATCTGCGCTACTGAGGAGACGGGAATGACTGTGACTGAGCAACTCCAGCTTAAAGACAATCATGTCATCATCTTCCTTCATACATTTTAACAGCTCTGTTAAATTGCATTGGGTGTCTGAAATGCATTTTAAGGTCTCTGAGTTATGAAGCATACTGTTATTACCAAAAATGTATTGTTTTAAGTTCTTAAAATCAAACCAAATAAAGTTAAATGATAATAAATTAAGAGTTGAAACACTGACTTTAACAGTGTCCTATGTTCAAACATCCATCCATGCATTTCCACCTATCTGAGGCCAGGTCATTGGAGGGGAAAAAATACAGGCATCGATTATCGGCCATCAGTCAGTTATGATATTTATTTATGGGCAAAAACTCCAATATCTTGCATCCCTGCTTATTATTTTTTTTAATTATCTACAGTAGAAAATCTCCTTCTAAAATAAAGAAAAAAGATTTTATAAAGATAAGGCATGGATTTTACTCTATATTATATTATTTGACATTAAAAAAAGACAATTTCCAAGCTCATGACAAACATGATGGATCTTGAATCATATTTCTGACCCTTTTTTATGTCATTCCCTTGTGAAAAATTAAATTCAGATATTATTTAAAAAAAAAAAAGTCTAAAAATTTGTTAGTATACTACATTTGTTGGTTCATTATATCATTTTTTAGCCACTATCAAGAGCCCCTGCAGCGGATCAAAAGAGCCACTTGGGGCTGCAGAAGCAGATGTCTGCTCTAGTGAGTAATGTCTCTAGCAGAGAGGCTTTCTCCAGTGGGATGTACCCAGAGAACACAGAAGAAGGCCCCATAGGAGGAAGATCATCACAACTGTTTAAAATGTGTGAACACCTATTAAAGCACAGATAAAGATCTTGATTCTTTTCAAATACAATATATACAAAAATAGGTTTAAAAGCATTCTTCAACGGTTAGATTTTTAAACTCAAAGCTCAGCTTGGGATTTAACTGACATTTACTATTGTGTCTGCAATTGTGTTCATTCTGTTATCGCCTTCTACAGGCCTGACACTAGAGGGTGCTATTGCTGTTGTCGGTGAGACGTATCGTGTTCACTTCCTGTTTTGACTGCTGAGCACCATGCTGTTCAGACTATCTCCCTTTGAATTAAGTTATTTTTTTCTGTGATATCTCCGTATCTAAATAACTAACTGTCCAGCACTTTAAAACATAGGGCCTTCTGCTGCTACTGAGCAATTTCACATGGTTTTATTTTTGTGGATTTTAAAATGGGTGCGTTGGTGGTTGTGCTTGTATTGATGGTTACATTGATGGTTATATAGGCTGCTGTAGGGGTTGCTGGTGTGTTTATCTGAAAGGAGTGGGGGTACAAATGGGAACACACTCCACATTACAACATCAGGGGAAAAGAGGGGATCACATCAACAGTTCCTCTGGTTAAAAGGGAGTTTTTCCTCTCCATTATCGCCACAAGCATGCTTGGTGTGAGGGATTGCTTTCAAGTTAATGAGTCGATGCAATGAACGGGTTTTCCTTAGATAGAAAACTTTGAATCAATTTGACTGTATGATCTGGTTGAATTGTCTCTGTAGAGTGCCTTGAGATGACATGAGTTGTGAATTGGTGCTATATAAATAAATTGAATTGCATCCTTTCACAAAAATTCCCAAATATCTAGGATCAATGCTACTTTGTTTTTTTGTTTTTTTTTTGAAGAGGACTTAAAAAAAAATCAGCTTTAACAAAGGGCTGTAGAGTAGAAAAACAAAACAAAGAAAAATAAGAGCTATTAATCCAGGTCTAATCAGCAAAAACAGGAAGACTAAATAAAAAAAAAAGAAATAAAAAAGTCTCAGGCTGTGCCAAGATGAAATAAGAAAATGAATAAGAATATATTCAGTAAAATGTGTTCTCTTTTAACCAAATATATTCAGTTAAAGGTGTTTTTTCTTTTAACCAGTCAGAAATGCTAAATTTGAGTGTTTTCGGTCACCCAAATTCATAAGTAATCAAGTATGTAAACAATAATTTTTTTGTGATGTATATTCCTAACTGTTCTGGTTAGTAATTACTTAAAAAAAAAATATATATATATATATATATATATTTCTTTAGCAGTGTATTACACTCAATTCGTCTTTCTCCTTTGCTGCTGACAGACTAATTTCCCCACTGGGGAAAATAAACAAAAATGTCAAGTCAGAATTAAACTGAAGTAATCCTTGTTCTGAGTGGAATAACAAAAATGGCGTTAGCTGAGGAGACAAAAATTAGTAAAGGGGAAAACATAAGAGTTAAAGAAACTCTTTCTTGTAAAGAGATATGAATATTTGATTAAATAATGATATAGCTTTTAATTGATGGAAACTTTAGATCTGGAAATATATAACCAATATGACAATAAACAAAAGCTTCTGCATCAGTCTGGCTGGTGTAAATATGAACATCTCCTTCTTAGCAGCACCTCTTTCGGCGCACAAGTTCTAGAAGATGGTCATTTGATCCACTCAGGCCAGAGATCAAATCACATTTTGGTTTCTAATGCAGTAACTAAATGCATTATAAATTGTGAAGCTTAAACATTAAATGCCGAATATGAAACAAAAGTAGCTCTCAAACCATACGTTTTGTCTGCAGTTTATCCTAAAATCCTTTTACAGGATTTCTATGGTTTTAACAGGATATCATAGCTGTCCATAATCTTCTCGGTTTCAGATCAGGAAAAAGAACAAGTTCTTCATCTTGATTGGTCTGTTTATGGTTAAATATACAGTATATTAAACCTTTTCAAATGTTTTTTTTCTAAAATATAATAGCATCCATACAATTTGGAGTTAAATAAGGAAATATTTAAAATACAAATAAATGACGTCTTGCTGAATATGTCTGTTATAGTCCTGGGCTTATGTTTTGTGAATTTTATACATCAACTGGTTTAGCAAGAAAGCGGTCTACCACAGTCAAGAGGTGTTAAACGTTTGCTTTGGCCTCCAGCTAGTTTGCACATTTGCTTCCGGTGTCACCCTTCCTCTTCGTCACAGTCCTGTTCTCAATTAAGTGAGGTCAGTTAGCTAGAAAATAAACCGCAGTGATCCCTTAGTCATCAAAGCAGGCAGACCGGGCCGCCCTTTACAGCTGCTTTTTGGATCTCTGCTTCTGTTTCCTTGAACCCCTCACACTAAGCATGCTTGTAGCGACAGTGGAGAGGAAATACTCCCTTTTAACAGGAAGAAACCTCCAGCAGAACCGGGCTCAGTTTGAGCGGCCATCTGCCGAGGCTGACGGGTTCAAGGAGACAGAAACAGATATCGACATGAAAGATGTTATTTGGCGCTCAGGCCCTGACAGAAGACTTTGATGCTGTGAATTGATATTTGCTTGGATGAGTAATCTAGGAAAAGAATTATAGCAGCCTTCTACCCGGGCCCGGACACTGGTTGTGAAATAAGCCAGAGGGACTGAGAATAGTTTGAGGTCAAATCGAAAAACTAGCCCCTAAACACCAACCCTGAGCACTAATCCTCTGTTTGCTTGATCCTGCGGAGGGTCTTCCAAGTTAAGTGCCATCCCAAACCCCACAGTGGGTAGGGCGAGTAGACCTTAAAGCGGCCTGTTAGCAGAGGAAACGCATTTTGCCAAAGTTAAGTTTCGCTGAGTTGCTGTATCTTCATCACGCTGACGGAAAATCACAAGTTAGTATATGAAAAATCGTAATTAATTCCACAATGGAAGATCCTCTTTGAAATAGTTTTAACTGTATACATTTTTGATAAGAAAGGGGCAAATGTTTAATGTTATGTTAACCTGCATCACAGAGCTACAGCTACGCACATGGAGCATCACTGTGTTGCCATAGTAACTTTCCTTTTCCATTGGAGGGAAGAAGCCATCCCATTCAAGGCGCCTTCAACAGCTGCGAGTGTGACTTCACTGGGAGTGACACTTGATAGTTAAGGGTTAGTGCTTTAGGAGCGGTTTGGGATCGACCCTGACAGTGAAGGAAGAGATGGGTGAAAGTTTGCTTTTGCGTGGGACAAGATGGCAAGGAGCTAAATGAATGGAAAGATGATTGCTTTGAAGGAGTTGTGGCCCCAAGATGATTGGCTGAAGATGGATGAGAAACATTGCAGGTGGTTCAGATGAAGCCGATACGTCTGAATGTTTGCCTAAGCTTCTTTAGTACTTTTGGCAGATCTGAAAATAGGAAGTCAGGGTCTACATAAAGCTGGTCAGTGGAGGAAAGCTTCAAGATCCATAAAATCTCCTGGTAGAAAGCTGCACTTGTTTCTAAAGAACATGCATTTTCAGAGAAAATAAGATTTTAAACCTGATCCAGCATATGAGCTGATGGGATCCATGCTCCAAAGTTCCTGGACAGCTACAAACACATTTGTAAAAATTTAAATCTAAATACTGCCTAATGATATAATGGTAATTTTGCATAAGCATGTAAAACCGAGCATAGCACGTAACTGCTTAGAGTTAACAGATGTAACAAGTGAACATTGGAGTTAAAAGGCTGTGTAAATTCGGTTTACTAAATGCTCCTGATTCATCAGCTTTTTACCAAAACTGAGGTAGTCACATTTTTACCATTAGTTTGTAAAATCCTCTGATTAGCATCTTTGGTATAGAGTTAGACCAGACAGATTTAGAATCACAGGTGATGTTTACAAGTTAAAACTAAGAGGGTCTAGAGACCAGAAAAGCTCTTATTCTCTTGCCAGTGGCACAAAAACAATGAGCTGCTCTAAAATCTTTACGTATAGAGGAACTTTATTCACCTGCAAAAAGCCTTTGCTTAATGTATTTCAAATCAAGTGGATATCCTAATGAACAGATTCACATGTACATGTAAAAAAAAAGACACATACAGCGTTTGCTTATTCTTTTATTAACAGCAATGTGCATACTTTCAATTTGATATGAGCTTTAAAAACCATAAAAAAAATGAATGCCTTTATTTGATGTAGGGGGAAAGACTAAAGTAAACCCACAGCCCCCTCTCCTGGTTGAAAATTGAAATTTCTCAGGACTGAGCACTGATCTGGAAAAGGGTCACTGAAACATTTGAGGATGAGGTTAGATGCGGCTGAAGAGGCAGAGGACAAATCGATGCAAGCATTACTGCACTATGTTGCCTTCAGAGACCAACAGGTACAGATCGACATCTACAGACACTCCTAGAATATCAAGGCCTTTTAAAAAAAACAAAGTAAGGATCTCGGTGATGATCTCTATAACATGGCACAAGTCATGGAAATCAAGTAAACAAAACCTTTGGGACAAAATTAAATGTACAGTATAGAAAAAAATCTATTTCTTTTTTCTTTACTTTATACAATTTGGCTTTCTTTAGAGTGACAGTATCAAAGCACAAATCGGTATGCCGTGCAAAAATAAAGATGAATAATAATACATGAGAATGAGATGCAGCCTTGAAACGTCGGTACAGTATTGAGGATTGCGGACTTCCCTAATCCGTCACCACCCGTCATTCAAGAAGTTTCTCAAGGCAACTAGGAAATAAACATAAAAAGGAGCTAGACAGCACAGAGTGAGCTTCCAGTCAACACACACATTAGCCTGAAGAGAAGACAAAGTGGCTCCTGATTGAAAAAAACAAACAAAAACAAAACACAAAGACATTCTTCATATACTGGGACAGCCTTTACTTAATGTACCTAAAAGCTGCTTGTGTGAATATATACCCTATAAATTCAGAGTACCTAGAGGTGAAAGCTGCTTCTGCAAACACCGAGAAAAAACAATATAAAAAAACAAATGTGCAACTTAAAGTGTGATTAAGAAGCAGTTACTTTTGGCTGTACACAGGTGAGCTGCTGTCTGTGCAGAGTCTCCTCTGCTTTTTGACAGCATGTATTCCTGAGTTAGTTCTTACAGTCGGCCCAAATACTGATTTTTACCGTAGACCGTGGGGTTGGGCCAGCGTACCCATGAGCCTACGCTACAAAAAGTCTCGCTGCTCGCTCCCCTTCAGAGCAGGGAGACACTAGAACTGCAGAGAAGAGAAAGTATGAGCCTTTAACAAAAACCCACTAAAGCATTTAGTTTGCTTTATTGCTGCCAATATATACAGGGTTCCTATTTCTATGAGGTCAAATTAGTACTTTTTTGTTTGTTTACAAAATAAAATAAAATTCAAATTTGGACAACGAAGTTTAAACTGTTATCTCTAAATTATGCAAACTAAGAAAAAACAAAAACAAAAAACGAACCTTAAATTGTTGATGAAGGGCAATTACACAGCTTTTCTGGCTTCTGGTCAACTTTAATTCAACTTTTCTTCAATGTCTGCATCATTAAACCCTGATAAAGATGAATAACACTACATTAAATATAGACCAACTGCAGTTTGATATAAATTGACAATTTTTTAAATTGTATATTAAAAAAATAAATATATCAATGTATTTTTTGTGAGTAATGGAACATTAACCCTCCCCCACCTGTTGCTATTCAATAGCATTCAGCTGCCTGCTTCTTTTTTTCTTCTCCTAAGGAGAAAACCAAGATATTTGTAAATTGCTCCAACCTGGGAAAATACAGATGACCATTGTGCAGCTGAATGTTGCCTCAGCTTCATACCAACGGTTGTCATATTTATAGTCATTTAGCTTCTATAAATTCTTTTTTCATGTCTATTTTAAACTCCAAAAGACCTATTTTGTCAAATCATCCTTGTGCAATGTCAGGGGTTTCTTTACCTGGCTGTAAAACTTGTAAAGTCATCACTGAAACTTAGTGTCGGAATGGTTAGTATTTCGACAGTCACTCTCTGTTGCAAGTTATATAGTTCTTGATCTATAGGATGGGAATTTGCTGCCATTCATGCAAACACTTCACCCAGATCTTAGTGAACCAGGCACCAAAGCTTTGGGATAATTCAGGGCTTATGATTACAGGAAAGTAAGAAAAATGTGAATAATCTCAATAAATATAGTTTTACAATAGTTTGAATTCCTAAAACCATGCAGCTCTTTCCCCAAAAAGGCTGTGAAATTACCCTTCATTTTCTACAAGACTTCTTAATATGCTAAATGTAATGTTCTTAATTTTGAGGTTTTTATCTTTAAGAGAATGAAAATACAAACATTATGTGGAAACTCAGATTTTTGTACATTCCCAACCTTTGAGGCATAAAAATCATATTTCAAACTTTTTCAGACTGCATAGAAACCCTGTATATAGTCTAGAAATAGCAAAATAAAAGTTATAAACACTACCAGGCCGACTCGGCAGCTTGAGAGGCTCACGAGCTGCATGTACTTTTCAAGTATGCTACATTATGAACTGGAAAGACAGAAGATACTGTCACTTTAAAGAAACAGGATGACGGTTAAAACACAGTATTCACAAATGTACATTTAAGGCTTTAATTGTTTAGCACTAACAATAATAGCAGCAGTGAAACACTTCTGAATTAACTTTAACAACAATATTTATGATCATATAACAATAATATATTACCAAAGTAAATCCTTTTTTTTTTTTGTAACACTGGACTCAGCTGGAGACAGAAACTCAGACCAGCCAGCGAGTTCAGCCCACAGAAAGAAAACGTGAGCCGCCACAGATCACACAACAACCAGCCTGTCTGGCCGCTGCAGGACGCATCCGCCGAGTTTCTCTACAGATGCAGGCCCTGCCTTTTCAACTAGAGCAGTAGTACATTTACTGAGCGCGAGTCACGTTACGCGGACTGCGGTACACATTCATGTAGAGACGAACAGGAGAGGGAGGGACCAGGGTCTTTATCTAAGAGCAGGACGAATGGAGCAAAAAGTCTGGCAAACATAAACCCACACACACACACACGCACGCTCACGTCCACAAAAAGCACAAGTAGCCAGCAACATGTCCAGACCTGAAACCATCATCATGCTTCAAAGAAAGCCAACAAATGTTTAAGAAGAAAAAAAAAAAGGTACCAAAGTAACGTTAATTAAAGGCCGTATCAGACTTAAGTCAAGATGAAAAGCTCTATTGCGCATTTTTCAAGGTGCTGCTGCTGATTAACACATCCTGGTGAGGAAGACGCCCGTTTCATCCTTCCTCTTCCTTGTAATCAAACCCCCCCCACAGTGGTACCAACAGCAACCCTCCAAGCAAAACCAGTTTCACATATTATTTATGCACGTACTGTATATATTACACACATTTAATATATACTTATATATTAAATTCTCATATAGTCATACACTTTTTTTAGTTTTACTTGTGAGGTGTTGATTATATTTTCAGCGAGAGGCTTCAACATTAAAGATGAGTTCGTCTTCGGCAGATTCCTATGTCTGGGGTCGCTGCGTTCAGCCGGTTCTGAAGAGCGGCTCCAGAAACCGTAAAGTAAAAAAGGCGCAACACTTTTGAAAGCGCGTGGAGTGCAGGGCGCAGATTCCTGCAGATACTGAAAGCTTACTGGGCAACAAGTGGCTCTGAAACCACAGGAGGGGTTTTTGGTAGAGGAGGGGGGGTGGAGCGAAGGGTGTCAGCCAGCACTTTACGTAGTCCTGGAGGCAGTGGGCTTTTTCAGGTTGATCTGTGCCGACCTAAACCAAACCAGGGCTGGGCCAAGCTATGGCAAAGAGAGCAAACCTTAAAACATGGACCCAACAATCTGCTATGTGAGAATGTGTGCAGTGGAGGGAACAGAGACAAATTCGCGCAGGATGTTCTTGGCCATTTCTATATTGTTTTGTGCAATCATCAGAGCTTTCTGGATGTCCTGATAGGAGTATCCCTGACTCATGAGGTGCTCAATCTCGCTGCTGATCATTGGGTTGGCCTCCACGCCTGCTGCTACGCTGCTGGGTGGAACGGGGACAGGTGGGACGGGGCTGTGGCGGCGCTCCGAGTTGATCCGCCTGGGCAGGGGTTTTGGAGGTCTCTCTGGTGCTTCCACTGGCTCTAAAACAGCTAAAGAAGAAAAGAGGAAGTCTTTGGATTTAAACAGCAACAAAAGGTCAACTTAAAGATGTGTTTAAATGGAAAGAGCTCTACAGTTAAATATGTTCATGACTATAATTAGGTCTGAGGGATGACACGTGTCCTTTCACACAATGTGAAACCTTTTCGGCTTTTCACTGCTGTGACATTTAACAAAGCACTGCAAGAGGCCAATTATAATCTTTGAGCTTGTCAGCTTGATGCAGAGTGATTTAATTGGCTCTCAGATCCAAACATGCAGAGTGCTCATGTGTGGTAAATGTCAATGCAACACAGAGACATCGGCGTGAGAAATTAAGAAGCCACTGCTGAACAGACTTCCTGCGCTGTGGCTGAAACCTCCGGAAGGAATACATGCAAATGTTTCAACATGACACCTTCATGAAAATTGTCAATAGCTGCACCAAAATACCATCATAAAGCTCAATCTTGGTAAGAGAGAGAGAGAGAGGAAAAAAAAAAATTATTTACCGGTATTTTATTTTATTTTTTTTAAGGCAATTATGGAGCGTTTAACATGTGCTCCTACATTATTCCTTCTGCTTCTTAGGAAAAGACTTGCTAGGTTACAAATAAAACAGTTGCTGTTCCACAGACTGACTGAGGCAGCCAGGAGTCCCAAAATTAGCAGAGAGTAAACAGAAGATGGTTGCAGCTTTACTTCTCATAGTGATGCAGAGTTCAAAGCTTATAAGTCTGATCTTTTAACCATTATGTCAACTGATATCCCTATTCTGTATGGCCTGTTACTAAGTAAGCAAAGAGGACTTGAAAATAGTGTTAACAGCCTTAATTGATTGGCTACAATTGTATGCAGATGTGGCACATAAGTCTAAGAAGCTATTCAAAATGAAACTACTTTATGACATTTATGGTTAATTCAGGAAGCAACAGAGAGACAAAAGATTATAACAAAAAGGAAACTCAGTTTGTTGAAAATATAAGTTGTAGAGATCACTAAAGTATTGCCCATCTAACTGAAAAATAAGCTTCTAACGTTACTAATGCTAAATCTAAAACAAAGACCACCACAAAATGACTACAGATTGTTTAGATGGGATGACCAGTAGAACATTTTTTCCAGTGTTTACTCGACCAAGCAGAATCACCAGTAATGGTACAAATTTAATTGATGTTTTTAAAGATGAAATCGGTAAGGCTATTCACTTCCTAATAAGTGATTATTTACCAATATTCATAGCTCATCACAGTAAAATTAACAAACCAAAAATGTTGAGAAAATAAAGAATGTTAAAATCATAATAGACAGAAAAAAAAGAAAGTTTATATACAGTATTAATGTGTGAAACATTTATGGAAGTTTTTAAATTGTTATATGATAAGAAAGTATCATATAATAATGTAAAAGGCTGGATGACCAAGGGATTGTTAAAATCTTGCAAGATCTTGGATTTTCAGATAAAGGCAAGAAAACTGATTGAATTTAATTGTTTGAAATTTAGAGATCAGTGTTGATATGAGAAGAATGCAGACTGTTTTCTTTTCAAATGTGTTGTTAGATGATGTGTTTGACTCAATGATGAAAATTGTTAATCTGTGTGAATAAACTGACTGATTAATTCAAAAATGATATTGCATAAAAACAGTGGACGGGTAACTCTTAAACTTACATGCTGCAGCTCCAATATCAGAATCTAGAGAGAGGCGACTGAAGGCGGCCACAGAAGATGAGCATGATGATGAGGAGGATGAAGATGATGACAAGGACCCCCCTATTTCTGAAAGGGTCCGCCGAGCAGGAGGCTGCGGTAGCCGTGGCTTTGGGAAGTCATAGCCGTTATCGTCTTCATCTCGGTCCTCTGCTGCATGATCTCTGGGGCCGTTGGTGACCAGTAGAGGAGGCAACTCTGAGTAATCTGAAGGTGGAAGGTGATCCGATTACAAAACCAGGAAAAGTTCAATTTTTCACACAGAGGGTCGGAGATGCTCCTTCTTAATGGGAATACTTTGACATCATTTATGAACAGTCTATTCTGTATGATGGTTAGCAAAACCAAATACCTGAATCTATGGCTGGTTGCAACCTCGCCTGGATGTTGTACATGGCTTCAGCCAACATTGGCCCATCCTCTGCACCAACCGTGAGCCTACAACAACAAACAATGCATTTATAAGCTCACACAGAAACTACTAAAACTCCCTAGTGGTGCCAAATCTGGAGGTTGAATACCGTGAGTTGAGTGTGGGGGCTTGAGTATGGGCCTGGAGAGCTGCCATGGGTTGAGGCTGTGGGGGCCTTTGGACCGGTAAGGTATCCGGTATAGGTGGTACCGCGATGGGACGAGATGAAGGAATCATATACTCCGAGTCTTCCTCACTGTCACAGTTCTCCTCTCCAGTCACCTGCCTCAAGGCTGTAGATGGTCTGGTGAATAACAAACAATTCAAGAATATTAACTGAACATTAAGACCAAAATTCAACTTGAAACAAAGTCATTCTTCAGGATCGCCTGTGAGGAATGTATATAGGCAAGTAGTTTCAGGACCAGGTGGACATACCGGTTCGCCAGAGAATAGATGGCATTGGCTGAGGAAGATGCTTTCACTTTGGGGTTGTCATAATCTTGAGAAGCCATTGCAAAACTCTGAGAGGGAAACAGATTTCAACATGAAGTGACTGGACACACAGATTTAAAACAAAATATAATTTAGTTGCTTTTTGACTGATAGCCATTTCAAACTGGAGAAAAAAATACTTCCAGCACAACAAAGAAGCTCAAAGATAAACTAACAGTAGCATGAAATAATGTAACTAATGATAAATTAAAATTATGCTCTTTTGTATGTATAATGACAGTTAAGACAATTTAATTCTATTTTGTCTCATTTCCCCATTGTCGGTCGAAATAGAATTAAACCAAGCATGTGAAAAGACCAATTTATGTCATCTTGTTAGGTTAAGATGGAAATAATGTTGAGTTTAAGGCATCAAATAACGATTATTTTTGCAAATTGATTAATCTGTTGATTATTTTTTTTTCGATTAATCGATTAATAATTGGATAGCAAAAGGTTCTTTAAAGAAGAAAAGAAACCAGGTGAAACTTAAATTTTTCTGAGTGAGGAGTTCTGGATAGAACGTATTGACCGACGGAATTATTTTTTTTAAATCTTATATGTAAATTCTTTGCATATTTTTATTTATTTTTTTTACAATTTTGGTATAATTGCTGTACAAACACATTAAACCGATTACTAAATTAATTGACGATTATTTCAATAATTGATTAATCACGATCAATCTGATTGTTTCAGCCCTAGTTCAGTTGGAGAGCACTTACATTTCAACCTCATAAGGACATTCTTACTGAATTTGGAAACTACAGAGATGAACACAAAGTTGGTCAGAAAACTATGTTGGCAAACTTTTGGGGTTAGATGTGATCCACCCCGACTACATCAGATCTCTGGATGTTGTAGGGTTATCATTGCTGACACGCCTTTTCAACATTGCGTGGAGGTCTGGGAAAGTTCCCCTGAGCTAGCAGATTGGGGTGGTGGTTGTCCCCCATAAGAAGGGGCGGGAGACACACTTCTCAGCCTCTCCAGGAAGGCCTATGCCAGAGTCATGGGAGGAGAATCTGTTTTTTTAGTAGGGCCTGGCCTTGGAGTGCCTCATGCCTATTAGAGGTGTTTGAATTGAACTTAATTCACTTCCAAGGTTGTTTTCGCCTATGCTCCTGAGAAATGCATTAAGGATTATATAAAAGAATAAACAGGACAGAAAGAATTACAAAATTTTCTATCATCAAGACACTGAGAACTAATCGCTGAGGGATAAAAAAAAGTTTGGTATTGAGGAATGATGGAGAAGGAAAAGATTTTAAACGCCTGAGACTTTTTTCGCCTACTCATCCATAGAGAGTGAAGTCAGCTCTTTGCCATCGATCCTGCTCTGGTTTTGTGCTTGCTAAGTTTTTTTCTGATAATATGACAAACTGAGGAAAAATGCAGAAAACTCAGGGGGACAGTAGGAGGTGGTTAAGACCGACACTAAATGTCTGACAGAGACTAAAGCATTAGACAGAGCACCTCAGTGAATAAACCAAACATATAGTTGGTCTTCAGTTTTATAAGGAAGTATTTTCAGAAAATATATAAAACACAGTTAAACTGAGTTGGAAGATTTGAGGCTTATTTTTACCCCACACTTGACACATCCAGTCAGTAAAGTGCTTTTTTCATGTAACTACCTTGTCTGTGAGTTTTATCAGACAGAGGAATGACTGTCTGTCAGAAGACAAATATCCAAATGGGGCTATGCTGTTGGATTACTCTTATCTATGTGCACCGATAAGCTTAAGACCACAATAAGTTTGTAGGTCTGCAGTTTTTAACCCTGAAGAAAGTTTATGCCCTATAAACACCATCAGCCTCACTGACCACTCTGATTTTAAACAGCGGTAAACTTCCATTCAATCATCCACATGACAGCAGCTTCTTTGTTATAATGGCTGACTGTGAATTATTGAAAGGTCAGATTTCCGTATGAAATGAGGACCTAAAATTTCCTAAGTGTAATGCTGGAAATCACCAAGCTCCTGTAAGTGATCCATTCCCATGTGAACAGATGTGGTGCTGGATTTATACACTCCCTTTAATGCTTGTAAGCCTGAATTCCCCTATGTGTTACGATAAAGGTTATTTCTACTTCAATTATTTGGAAAGACGGGAAATGTGTACAAAAAAAATCCCTTAAATTTTACTTAATGAACCAAGTAAGTTAAATACAAGTTTTGCTTTAAACCTTTGGTTCTTGCTTTTTTACCTCAGTTAGAAAACATCAACAAAGTCTCTGCTTAACTTAATCAGGGTTACTAACAAAATTTTTTTTTTTTTTTTTTTTTAGGAGTTAAAAGAAAAAAAAAATACAATATACCCTAATAAATATTTGATGGCACGTCAAAAAAGTACTGCAATTCAAATCATCTAAACTTCTTTCTTACTTGCACTTTTTAGATAAAAAATTACTGACTTTGTATCTACAAAATAAATAAAATTTCCACTGATGTATTTTACTTTTTACAAACATTTCAGAAATACTCCTAAAGATTTCCATATTTTCTTCTTCCACTTTAAATTAAAGTGTATAAAAACTGCACTTGGTTTTATAAATCAAATTATCTTAAAGGTGTTTAGTACTTCAATGTGCTTTTTACCTATAATGAATTTAAATAAATAAGATAAAGAGGAATAAATGTGGGGAAAAAACTGCTCTACAGCTCTGATCTAATGTCTTTCCTCCTGTCTGATGAATAAGCTGTTTATTGTGGCGTGTGCTTGTTAGTGGTTGTTCTGACCAGCTGGTGGTCCAGGCTGAGGGAGCTGTTGTTCTTCTGAGAGTCTGAGCGGTTGTCTAGAGCAGAGGGCAGAGCCAGAGGGAGAGAGTGTCTATTGGAGAGCTCCCTGACACCCGCACGGAGGTCCACTCCCAAGATGGCCGCATGGGTGGATGAGGAGGAAGGTGAGGATGATGAAGATTGGGCGGCGGGGGCTTTGGGAACAGGCCTGGAGTTCCAGTCCGTCATTGGACGGTTCGGGGGTGTGGGAGGGAGCTTCTCTCGAGGGGGGTCCCCTGGAGTGCAGGGTAGGGGCCGTCTCGGATGCCGACCTTCGGGTGCTCCCCCAACTGCATGGGGCCTGTCTGGAGGAGGAGGAGGGGGGAGGTCCCGCAGGGCAGGAGGAAGTGGAAGAGGCTTGTCTTTGTGATGTGATGCTGCCTGAAGGGATAAAAGAGATAGAAGGTATTTTAGACCTAAAACTGCACAGACCAAAAGACATTTTTCTTCAATGCAGGAAACAATCAGTTTAGATGGAAAACCAGAATTCATCAGGAGGATTAAAAAAAAGAACATCTGTAAACATGAGCTGTGTCTGAATGTCCGCCCTAAAAACTACATAGGGCACTATATAGTAGTTATTCCATTGTAAATGAGTGTTCGAATATCTAGTTGATGAAAAAGTAGTGGACTCTTCTATGGTCACTAGACAAGCAGATATATCCAGGAATGCTTTATGAGGAGCGCTCTCCTCGCAAAGCATCATGGGATTTGTTGTCACAGCGGCCCGCTGTCCCAAACCGACGAGAGGAGAAAAATAAAGATGACGCTAGCACCATGCGGAGAGGCAGGGTTACGTGACCAACAGGGAGCGAAAAGTATTGATCATCTGTCCAAACGGTCAGTTAACTGAGTTCATTATAAAGTCTACTGTATAATCCCCGCTCCATATAGTGATTGAGGGACACAGCCATTGGCACCTCCCAACTGCAGTTTATGTTTATAAGCAGACATCTTATTATCATCAACCAATAGAAAATACAGTGAAAATTTTCCAGTACATACGATCGTCTTATTAACTACAGCCTAACAAAGAAATAAGAAGAAAATGAAAGGTAAAAATATTAATTCGCACATGTTTTTATTTAACAATGGTATGTTTTTTGTTCCCCCTCCGTCTTCTTTTCTCTTCAGAGATGACACACTTGGTCCAGGGTGTTTTTATCGTGGTATCCTTCCTGGACTAAACAAATTCGTAATACTCTTTAAAAGCTTTGACAAATGTTTCCGGCTACGATCCTGACCACATTTATACTGCTGTATAATAAACTGGACGTATTGGACGAGTTCATTGGGGTGGTTAATTACCTTACTGGTGGCCCCTGGACTGGATGCCCCAGGAGGGTTTGGAGGTCTGTGTGGTAGCAAGTCAAGTCTGGGAGGCACTGGGGGAAGAGATGCCTGAGGAGGCATGGACATGGGTGATGGTGGGCGCTCCACCTGGATTAGACAAAGGAGAAAAAAAAAACATTAGATCCAGTCTAAAACTGTATTAGCACTAAGCTATGTAGAAAATGCAGAATCAAATAAGTTCTGGCTTAAAATTATGGATAATATGTCAACTTATAGAAGTCATTCAACAGGTTGGGTTGGAGAGAGCAGAAGAAGATTCTGGGATCACATCAAAGTTTGCTATTTCAGGTAGTCACCAAATAATGTATAAAGATTTTCTCAGAGGCATAAAAAGATGTAAGACAGAAGAATGTCCCAAATTTCAAACACCAAGAGGTAAAAAAAAAAAAAAACGGCTCCTCTGGTAGCTTGAAAGATGGAGATGAAAGCCCTGAGTAACACGACGTGAGCTTGTAGCTCAGAGGAGAAAGACGTGACAGACTAGAATGTGTTTTATCTACACAGAGACTGGTGTGAGGTGTCCCTAGTGGGTTGCTTCATAACAGGGAAGACCATAGAAAATACATTCTGTTTCAATTTACTCAAACTTTTTTCCACAGTCTTACCTTTGTGCAAGCAAGTTTGCTCATTACCAGGTGGGGGTCTTCAAGTCTGTCATCATCGTCGTCGTCATAGCTTGGCGATGGAGCTCCCTCTGCCCCCATGGTGCCCCGACTTGAGCCCCCGCTGTTGTCCTTGGGGTCAAAGGGATCTACAACAATGGGCTCGGTACCTTTAATCTCACAGCGACAGAAGGGGCATCCTGTTCCCTGACCCTCCGACTCCTGGAGTAAAAGCAGAATCATGAGAGTAACAGCATGTTAACAACCAGCTGTGACCTTCAAGCACGTCAGAAAAACCAGCTAAACCGGGTTCTTGAATAGTTTCATTTTAAAACCAAGATTTCTAGATTTTCTTCCTGTACACAGCAGACTTTCAAAATAGTTCAGCTTCATTTCAAGATGTCAAACCAAAATAAACTAAGAGATTTTAACTTAAATGCAGAGATAAATTTCTCCAATGTGAGAGCAATACAGTTAAATTATAATCAATTATAATTATTAATGCACAGCTTGGCATCTATACCAGACCCGTTTAAGTATCCTAACCAATCAAAAAACCTGATCTAAGGAGTTTAAAACAAGGCAAAAGAAGCAGCAGTGAAATTACCCCCCTTTCTGTTTTTGTTGGTGTGCATTTTTCCTGTTGGATCTGCCTGTAACTTAAACCCCAACATAGACAAACCGCTTAGATTGAATTCAAACAAAACGTAGAATTTAAGTTTAAAAATGTTAGCTAACATTTAGCCAAACAGCGGCTTCTTTACCAATAAACACAGACATAAAAATGATCTCTTCTCCATAATATGCACAAACTAGAACCACAATTCATTTATCTGTAAGCTCACCAACCCCAAACCCTTTGCTTCCACCCACGGTTTTACCTGCCAGGCAGTGAGACAGGAGGTGCACATGAGATGACCACAGGGCTCAATCTTCACATCTTTGTCATTCTCCGCACAGATTTTGCAGAGCTGGAAAGTGGAGCCCATCTCACAGTACAGCTCATATTGCTCCTGAGGGCGGAAACAAAACACACACACACACACACACACACACAAAAAAAGAGAAAAATGTAACATCATGGAGAACTGACACCACCTGATTGTCGGGAAGGATGAAGAGCATTCAGTTAGAGCAGAGGCGTAGTTGTAGTTTCAGAAGTAAGGTTGACTAGAACTTTAGCATTAAATTCTTTTAACCCTCACCATTTCCCCCGAAAAAGCTGTGACCTTTAAGTTCAGAGCTATACCATTCAATTAGGGGCGCTTTGGTTTGTCTAAGAACACGACCTATTTAACATAGTGAGAATAAAGAGCGAAGGAATTCAGTACAGCTACGAATGATAGATAAACATTCATGGATTATTTTAATAAAACTGGAAATGCATAAAAAAAAAACAAACAAACAAAAAAAACAAAACAAGAAGCTGCTGGTGTTGCTCTGACCTGTGTGACTTTAATGTGGTCTTGAGGTGAAGGCTCACAGAGGCCTGTCAGATCCGGGTTTTGGGTTCGACCATCGGGGAATAAATAGCTGGGGAAAAAAAAAAAAAGAAGAAGTAAAACAGCATAAAAATGTGCCCACAGAAAACATGCCTAGTTAAATGAACAAGCAGTTTAATTGAAAAGTAATTAGCGTTATTAGTTAGAATGACTTGTGTACCTAACAACCTGCAGCAATAAAAACATCTGTGGAGTTCATTTACTCTATGCGAGCTGATGCATGTACAGTACACGACTATTTCACAAATGGGCTGAATGCTGTAATTACTGTCTGATAAATGTTTTGTAGACACAGGCCATATACTTTACAGGCTCTCCCAGATCAAATCAACGTTTTATTACAGGTTGAGGCAGGCCAAACACAGTTTTCATTAAACACAGGAATCACCACAGGCAGGAAAAGACGAGTTTCAAGCCAGCCGGGTAACCCAGTGAGGGCCGCATTAGAAATCAATGCTTTTGCTTTAGTTATAACAGTAGTTGAGGGAGAGGGATGAGTTAGATATGCCTGGATTCACTTGAAGCTGAGAGGCAGATTTAACTGAAGGATCCAAACGAAAGGGGGTAACCAAGTTCAAGTAGAGATGCACATTTCAAAGAATAAGAAACGTGTGAAAAATAAGAATCTAAGGAGCACAATCTGAACGGACAGAAAAAGCTCAGAAACTAAGATGAAAAACCACACCAGATATAAATTAGCCAAACTTACAAGCCTTCCCTGAAACCATCTATGAGGGCTTGGAAGAGGGGTTTATTATGAGGAATGGTTTGGAGAATATTCCCGTCGGCTGTCACGTAGCCAATAGCCCACTGGCCAAGTCGAGTGCAGCTCAGTCGGAAGATATAACTGGGGAGACATAAGTACATCTGTAAAAAACCTAAAAAAAAGAAACATTAGAAATCGAAGATCTGTAAACAAACTAACCTTAGTTTTTTTTAAAATTATTATTATTATTTTCTAATCAATATTATAAAACAAAAATCTGATGCTGCTTCTAAAACAGTCTGCTGAATACAGCAATTTTTAAACCGTGGTCTGGACCCGGCTCTGTGGTTACAGTTTGACTTTTTCTTAGCATCACCTCATATTTACGGTGATCCTTTTGAAAGTTGGGTCTTTTCCTAACAGTTGCCAGTCGTCTTTACTGAAGGAGACCACAGGCTTTCTGTCTCTGTAGTAAGAGCCAGCCGGCAGAGAATTAGAAAGAAGTGTTTGAAAAAATATAGCCGATAAGTAAGGGAAATATGTATTCCTGTTCCATAAAAGTACTGAGAGAAGATGAGAGGGTTTTCCCTCAGACTGAATGGACTGCTGCATTTTTCTTCCTCTGTGTGGAGTTTAAAGCCATCTTTTCATTATTTTTTCACATAAATGCTTACCTCTACGATACAAAGAGTTAGTACCAAACTAATCATTGAAGATCACCCAATTTGATCTAAAGTGAGGGGAAAGTAATCAAATACCACAGACTAACAGACTTAGCAAAATGGAGACACTGACTACTTACTGGGATTTAGGGCCTATCCACAATCCTAATAAAACTCAGAAATGTTTCAAATAATGGATGCATGTATTTAGCATATTTATATGTAAAAAAAAAAACAGTTTATTACCAATTCTTTTAAACCAGATCTGCAACAGTAAAAAGAGTCAGAAAACATGCAGGACAGGACTTTAGGTTTATTATGCTTTTGCTGGGGACATAGAAATAATTAAATGGTGGACAGCTCAAATGGAGGTTTGCAAGAAACTCGAAAATTAGAATAATTTATTCCAGAGGTCACAGATTAGCGGATTGCAGTCCTGATCCAGACCCACCTGCTGGCTAATCCAGACCCAACCTGATTTAAAACGTTTATAAATTACCGCATGTTGTCTGATGACAGAGTCTAACGTCACTTGCGCAGCTTCTCCTGTTAATATGGTAAAGCTGTCTGGAGCGCCGGGACCAGGCTAAACATAATAAAAATTAGCCATTGAGCTGTGTCAGTCAGAGTCACTGCTGCGAGACACTTTTAGACACAGCAGGCAAACCTGTGGCACGCCGGGCGGTGGGAAAGGGGGAGAAGACGAGGAAGGAAAAAAAAAGCAGAGAAACAGTGGAGTGCTGGAAGACCCGCGGTGAACTGGTGAAAGAAAAATTAAATGGTGTGCTCAAAGATGACCCTGCACATTTTCAGTGTGTTCGGCTCAACCTGCTGCTGTGAAGCAGGATTCTCCACCATTAACATAATCAAAAATAAATATCCAGGCTCATGAATGAGCACCTTGATATGTGCTTGAGAATGGATTTGTCGCATTCAAACCCGGGTTTAAAGCCTTGCAGGGCAGCCTAAAGCCCGCTGCTCTCATTAAGCTATAGAAAGAAAAAAAACTCCAAAACAAACGGTCAGTTCAGGTGTTTTATCAAATATGTGAATCAGGAAATTGTCCATATACCAAACTGAACGATTGTTCTCTACTTGAAAAAACACTTCAGTTATTTTTTATTATTAAAAATTCAATGTAGATGCATTAAAATCTGCTTTTTATTTCAGTGTTAAATTCTGTTTAAAGTAACAGATTATAATTAAAAATGTCTCCGGACCATTACTGGTTGATGATTTTCTGTATTCGGAAACCACTGATTTTCGATTGGTTACCCCTGATTTATTCCATCTTTATTTAAAACAGTTTTGAAAGAGAGATATTAAAACTGAAAGAGGAAATCTAACAAACACAGTGAAAGAGGAGCTGCCAATGAGTCAGCAAGAGACCGGGATTTCTGGGCTTCACATGCCGTTTCCCCTCAAGTTAAGAAATCTGCATAAAACATTTTTTTTAAGGAGAAACAGAGTAACATTAGAAATAAAACTGGTTTCAAATGTTAGCTTCCAAAAAGTAAGATGAGCTTTTTCCTCAACATAGAAAATGTCAATGCAGTTAAGTTGTAGCTTTATAAAAAATAAATGTAATGGTCAGGCAGATCTGTATTAAAGTGTAAGAAAATTGCTTTTAAAGTGAGCAGTAAGTGCTTTTGGTGTTGATGTGGCCTTTAGCGGGCCGGGCCTGAAGGGTGACATCAGCATCCTAATGAACAATCAAGCCATTGATGAAAGGTACCGGTGCCACGCTGCCCTGGGCTCCTTGGACTCCCCCGCACGCACCCACACAAATTACAGCATATGCAGCATAAAAATCACCCAGATTCAAACTGTCCCTAAAAAGACACGGCCCATTTCATAAGCTATATACTAACAAAAAACCCTGAGAAATGCAGCTAACAAGCTACTAAGAAAAAACAAACATATGTCAGCATAAGGGACACTAAAATTTACCCTTTAAAAAGTGTTTGTGTTCGGATTGCTTCTTACCTGCCAGGCTTGTGGATGAATTTGTGCAGCCGAGCTTTGACCTCATCATATGTGAGGAATGCCATGTACCCTGGGTGAGTAACTGCCAAGCTGTTCCAGTTTCGCAGCAGGGATGACCAAGGCTACCCACACACAGACACACAGAAGGAGCACAAGAGCAAGGCAAAATGAGTCACAGTGTTTTAGAGAACGGAGATAGTAAAACAAGAAAAACCATAGAGGCAAGATGTACTGGATACTGCAACATGTATGAGTGGGTTTGAACATCTGTTTAGTGAACATCAGGAGGAATTATAGGCTGATCCAGCCTCAGTGAGCCTGTGGTTATAGGTAGACAATAGAGCACATTTTCTCTGGCATCACAGGCTGTTGACATGATTTAATACTAGCTATAATTCAAATTATTTACAGTACTGTCCTGGAGTACTAATTATTATTGACATTATAATCGTTAATTTATAGAATTTAAGCCAATTCTTAGTCTTATAATGATCCATAGAAATCATAATAAAAAATGAAATAAGCAGTCTGAACTTCATGCCCGTTTACTCTATTCAAACCTGATTCAATTATGTATTCAGGTTTAGATGAATAGGACCACATGGATTGATATTGGAATCAGTGTCTTTATTTCCATTTCAGAATCAGTTTGAATACACAGGATCCCAACCAAAATAACAGCTTTTTTTAACCCAGTTATTCTAGTTTTCCAGTGAGCCAGCGACGTACTCGGCACGATGCTGCCACTAGCAATCTTGACAGTTGGAATAACTTAAGTTGGGCAGCTTAATCATTATTCCCCCAAGCACATTTCTTGTTCATGTGGCCTGAAAACACAAACGTTATTTCGTTTGACCTTAAACATTTTACAGAGTATGTTTGGGTTTTTTTTAGGGTAGGTGGATATTTTGGATGTGCTTGAAGATGAACATTTTAAAACCAATCCATTTTTAAGTCTGCTTCCTGTCTGTCCACCTTATTTGCTTCTCAAGAAAAAGGTCAAAGCTTCCAGTTTATTCTAGACATGTACCTTGGTGGCCTCTGTATTGTTCTGAAAACTATTTACAGTTTTCTTATACCTTCATGGTAAGAGCTATTAGACAATTGGTGGTTAAAATTATACAGGAAACATATACATTCAACAACATATTTTTCTTGCATTCAAACTGAACAACCTTGGTCTATGGGGTGCTATTTAAATCTTACCGTCCCACTATTTCTTTTAGATTTTCCTAAAAAAAAAATTTTATTTTGCAGTATTTGTCTGAAAACCTCCTCCACTGACTTTGGAACACTGGCTTCTGTGCCTCAAAGCAGGAGGCCCAAACTGATAACATCCCTCCGACCTCCGATTTCAAGGGGGTGAATCTCAAAACATCTGTCCATGGCCAGCATTTGTTTCCCTCTCCATGCTACAATAAGGCTTACATAAGCTAAAAAAAAAACAAAACAAAAAAAAAACACTACTTATCTTAACACAGTCCTGTTCCTGTCCATTGACACTGATTACTTTGGTGGCATTTTTTTTCCACTTCCTCTGGGGACAGAGTTATGTTTTTACACGGGGTGAGTCACACTTTAATGAAGGGAGTTATACCTTTGGGAAAAGGTTTCCTGATTAATCGAGTCTGGTCCAGAAAACCACACTTCCTACTAAAACGAACTGTACACTAGCATTATCAAAAACATTGATGCATTGAAAAGTATTGATATTTATAGGCTGTATGTGGATACAATACTAATTTAGCGTGGCATTGATACGAGCTACAGGTGTTGTTGCAACTCTTTGCTTTGTGCATTTTATTAAGTGGTTGAAATATCCAGCAAGAATGTAAGTTAAGAGTGATAATGGTCCTTAGTAAAGGACATTTTGCCAAACATCACTGGAGGTCTATATATGTTTGTTTCTCGGTAAAAAATAAAAAAAGGACGATGGCCCTCAGTTTTCTGCTATTAAAAAAAATAAATAAATCAAGATGTAAAGAAAAAAGAACTGAAATAGTTTGCTGTACAATCATTATACCCTGGAAAAGCGATTCTCTTTTTTTTTTTTTCTTTGAAGACTTCCTAACAGTCTATTATCTTTAAATTAGACAGACCAAAAAAAATATTGTCCCCAGTGTTTAAAACAAGAACATTTTGTTCACCACAGTTTAATTGAAAGTTTTGCATATCTCTAACAACAAAAGCATTAAGACATTAAAATACAATACAAAAATCCCACAGTAACAATACTTCTAATGCAGCTATTAAATAGTGTTGATTGGAGTAATAACCTATGCAGTTTGTCATGAGAAATGCCTGCTTTAATGAAGTAAGGGTCTTCAAAAAAAAAAGCATGCATTTCTAAATAGAGATATAGGGATGAAAAGGCACCAGCATTGAGTCAAGTAATTATTTTCTGCAAATGAAACTGAGGCCTTGTGACGCCATTTCTAAACACACAAAGAAAATTATTACTTATGACTGGATTGATCTTTCTATATTGTCTCGAGTTCTTCACCTAGCCAGAATGCTAAGAGAAACTGCTAAAAGTTCAGTGACTCTTAAGGCCCCCACATAATTGAGATAACTGCGTGGACATTATGAGCCTCTCAGTCTGTGCACGTTTCAGCCTCCCTAATCAAGCATATGCTTTTACTAAATTTCTCATGAAATATGCCTTCATTTCCAACACCGCTATCTATCTTTATCAGACAGCTTGCTATCTAGCATCATCAAAACAAACAAGGGCTAGATGGACGCTTTGCACCGTTTATTCTCCCACGGCACATCTGTGAGCAATGCATGTGAACGTAAGAAAGCTACACTCTAGAATGACTAATTGGACGTCTTCTAGAAAAAAGCCTGTTTCCACTAAAAAGACCAACAGGAATGGATATACGGTACTTGTTTCATCTGAACCAACCACAGCACAGGTTGAGCACATTTCTTTATGAGTTGTGACCAAGATGGTGATGTTGCATATACTGAGAAGTGACAGTCAAAACCGGGGCTCGACACAATTCAAATGTTTGAAAAATATTAATCAATCCAAGAGAAAAAAAAACAATAAAAATAACACCACCCAGTGACGGAATATATTCATGAAATCGCTTCAACATACAACAGCTAAAGTGCTCCTGTTTTTAGCTACCGGGTATTTCCCCAACAGATGTACCATTTTCGCTTGTTCGTTTTTTTAACCAAACCGACACTATGTAGTACAACGGACTACTGATCATTTCGGGATGTATTTAGCCCATTAAAAAAAAATAACAAGGTGTGACACTATGTCCAATGCAGAAGGTCACACGATGCGTGACCTTTGAGCGCATATTTCATTATAGACTGATGGAGTTGGTGCATCAGTGGTGATATTTCTGCCATTATTGGATAAACCCACAGTAACGGTGAAATTTGAAAGCTGTGAGGTTAACTGCAGAATGAGAGTAAAAGGTTTTCTTTGGCTTGTACCTGCATCTTGTTTTTTTTTTTTATAGTTCAGCCACAGAGGAAGTGACACGTTCAAACTGCCTTTCTCAGATCTAGACAGCGAGCCACATCTCTTCTAATAGGCCTCACTCTAACCTCACTGCAAATGATCCTGCTAAAAACAGAAGACTTTCATTAAAAGTTCATATAAACCAGCTGTGCATTTAGTGTTTGGTTTTTACTGATTAAGGTTTTTGATAACTTTACATTAATAAGCAATAAAAAATACTCATAGCAGCCTTTTACATTGCGTCAGTAGCGTATAAAAAGCAGCCTTTAAAAATGGCATCATCATCATTACTTCCTCTTGGAGCCTGAGGACATTAGAAGGAGGATCGCTTTGTTTGAGGCAGGAAACGTCTGTAATCGGTTTAGGCTTCATTAATCCTATCAGAGCCTTGCATACAATTTTCAAGGAATAATTTTATCCAGGGACCAGATGATGAGTCAGAAGTTTCAGACAGAAAAAGGTTAAACAACTTAGAAAGGTGAACATGTTGACTGTTGGCTTTTCTCATTATGTTGTCTAATATTTATCTCTTCTTAGAAAAATTCAATTATGAATGATGAAAAATGTTTACATGAGCTGTTTAGCAGCTGTAACTTATGCGTGCATGAAATAAACCTGTTTAAATAAAATGGGGGTCAGTTCACAGGGTGAACATTGGTAATACTACAATGTTTACCTTTATTTCTTTGAATTGTGAAATTACACTAGCTTTATACCATAAGGTAAAAGAGAAAATATTGTTTTTGTCCCTATCCCCACTTAAATATGCTGAAATTCAACTTGAACATAAATTAAGGAAGAATGTTATTAATGCACAAAACAACTGATTACACAGCGGATTGTTGTTGCGTAATTCATTTATTAATTGTGGCAAGAAATAACGAAAAAAAATCTGCAACCCTTTTATAATAGTCTGTAGTTTTTTATATATA